AGTGAACAGTTTGCGGTAACTAATATAAAATGAATCATCTATTCATGCTAACACTTGTCCAGTGAAAATTTCCTTCAGATAAACCTGATTTTTAAAGCTGATGAGTAGGTACAGGTAGTTTTAATCAACACTTAATAAATATTTATTTAGCATCTACCATGTGATAGGGATACAGTGGTATACTAAATAGGCAAGACTCAAGCAGCTTGGAGCTTATGTTCCAATGGGGGCAGATTCATAATACACAAGAAAATATAATAATTAGAGGCAATATGTGTGGAGATAAACAGGGTGATAAAAGTGAGTAGCTGCAGAAGGCCACTTTAGATAGCAAGACTAGGGGAAGATTTTCTGATATTTCTCACTCATCAGTGAGAATATCAGTCAATGAGAAAGAGCAGTCATTGAAAAACTGGGCACATTATTTTAGGTAGAAAAAGTAGCAAAGTGCAAAGGAAATGAAGAGAGAAGGAATCCAGAGGTTTTGAGGCACTGGAGAAAAATAATAGTTTCAGAAACAGTCAGCAATGGGAGGAACAATAGAAGAAGTAGGGCCTCCTAGGATTTCATTCAAACATGATAAAAAAAAAAAGTAGCTCAGTGAGACATTTTAAGCAAGGAAGTGACTTTATAGAATTTATATTTAAATAAAAAAATCACAGTGTAAGAGTAGACTCAGTAGGACTCATAGGCTAATCAGATAAGGCAAAAGGTCAGGAGGGGCAAGAGAATGAAAAGTCAAGGATGATACTTAGGTTCCTGGCTTGTGCGTTAAATTATACAAAAAGCAGAAAAAACTAGAATATCATTGCTGTAGGTACTGACAGCAAGAAATGGTAAATGGAGTGCATTTGGTGCAACAGAACAGGTATACACATTAAGTTTGTCAGTTTGCTCTTGAGAGTTGCTCTTACTATATAACATATGGGCAAATCCTAGTCTATCAGTAAAAAAAATAAAAATAATAAATAATAAAAAGCTTCCTAAATTTTCCATTTCAAAATGGCTTATTTAACAGAAGTGAAAAGTGAAGTGAAACTAGGATCAAATAAGTAGAAATATACTAAAATCATTCACAATTGCTTCCACTTGTATTGTCTCTACATTTCACTTGTAGAAATCACTGTTTCTCCTGTTTTTATTTGACTGAAACAATAGTTAAATGAAACATCATTTTCTTCATTCCATTCTAACAATGCCACTTAAAAAATGAAGTTTTCTCTTGGTTATCAGATTTAGACTCACCAGAAGTGCACCCACAGAAAAGTCACTTAACTTTTCTGAGGCCCAATTTTTCTTATCTGTAAAAATGGGAATGATAGTAGAAGATTGCTGTTAGAATGATGTGACTGTCATGTGAACAAAATAACAAGCTATTCAAATAGAAATAACAATTACTATTTTTCTAGCTTTGTAAGCTTGTTTCATCAAATTGAAGGACATTTTCCTATTTCTTATATATAAACTGAATAAATTTCCCCACATGGGATATAAAAAAATAATACCAGTGACCTGTAAATAAAGAATGTGCTTTCCATGGTTTCTCCATTCTTGGAATTGTGGTCATTCAAGTATACTCTGCTCATCCCTGTTTGCCTTGTGACCAAGCACATACATTTTTGAGAGAATCTCAAAATGTCAGTGAGAGAATCCCTGGGTGGAAAATTATTATAGCAAGGAGGTACAATGCATTATCCACATGTTTGTGATAATACTGGTGAAAATAAAACTAAAATGATGCCAGTTGTATAAAAGTATAATGCCTACATTAGGTAAGGTACATAATACATGGTAGTGATAAGTGATCATGTTACTGGTTTATATATTTACTACATTTTGATTTTTATCATTATTTATTGTACATTCCTTCTATTTATTAAAAGAAATTTACTCTAGGGCTGGGGCTGTAGCTCAGTGGTACAGCGCCTGCCTCGCACATGTGAGGCACTGGGTTCAATCCTCAGCACCACATAAAAATAAATAAAGATATAAAAGAAATTTACTATAAAATAGTATGCCATGTTAATATGAGCAGCAGCCTCAAAGTATGCTACTTTCATTTTATGATTATTATTAAATGAATAAATCAATACTTAATTATTTTTACATTTCATTTCTAATAAAGTAGATATCACCAGATATAATCTATATAAACAAAAATTCTTGGGAGTCCTCATAACCTTATAAGAATGCTAACTAGTCCTGAGATCAAGTTTGAGAAACATTGGTACAGTTCAACTAACCAACCTGGGCAGCATTACTAAGCAACCGTGTGATTTTCTCCGCCACAACCATCAACTAAATTTTCATGCATAGAAACCTCCTTATTCATTTTTTTCTACCGTTCTTCCTACTTATCTTTCTTTCTTCTTTTCTTGCATTAATTTTATTGAGGAAATGAATAAGTAAATATTATTGGCCCAACTCCTGTGAGAAATTTTGATGTATAAAAATATCATAGTCCTACCATCAAGGAGTATGAAGCCCAGTGGAAGTCAATCACAAAATTATAATGAATTGTGAACACAGGAACATGAGGTCACAGCAGAGGGAATTTTGATATTTGCCTAGAAGACAAAGACAGAAACATTGCCAAGATAGTACAGTATGTGGGATATCACCATATCTGAAGAAATGTCCAGCCTCCTTTGTCATACTTGTGGATCAACCCATAATATTAGGCAGGAATCTCTCTCTACCACACTGTTGCTCCCATAGGCGTCTACTGTCTCCACTTCTCTTCAAAATAGCCCTGTTGTGAGAGTGTCATTTCCTGACAGCATGATTTCAAGATCCATCTTAGCTTTCTGGATCAGGCCAATTAATAAGTGCAGCTCCTTCATGAACAATCTTTATAGCAGTGTTTCCTGTAGGACTGTCTGAGAATGTATCAGAGTTGTATTTCTGAGTTTCTTTCTAAGTTTCTTTTCTTTCTTCTTCACAGGTGTCAGACCTACACATCCTCTGAGGCTTCCTCTTTTTATTCTTCTTTTTCCCTCCTCACTTTTGCTTTCACAGTCATTAGACCCTAATAAATTCTTTGAGACCCAATTTTTTTTTTTTTTAGGGATAAAATAGAAATTATGTAACACCTTCATTATAGAATTGTGTGATAATTAAATGGGATAATGCATATTATCTCGACAATGTGAAATGCTAGATAAATAAAATTGATTATTATTTTTATTTATTTATTTATTTTTGGTACTAGGGATTGAACTCAGGGGCACTTGACCACTGAACCACACCCCCAGCACTATTTTGCATTTTATTTAGAGACAAGGTTTCACTGAGTTGCTTAGCGCCTTGCTTTTTGCTAAGCCTGGCTTTGAACTCACAATCCTCTCTCAGCTTCCCAAGCTGCTAAAATTGATTATTATTACTACCAATGCCAGAAATGTACATGATATAAAATATCATTGCACAATATTAATATGTCAAGTTTTTCATCTAAGCGCTCTCTCTCTCTCTCTCTCTCTCTCTCTATATATATATATATATATATATATATACACACACACACACACACATATATATAGGTACCAAGGATTGAACTCAGGGGCACTTAACCACTGAGCTACATCCCCAGCCCTTTTTATATTTTATTTTACCACAGGGTCTCACTGAGTTGCTTAGGGCCTCCCTAATTTGCTGAGGCTGGCTTTGAACTCGTGATAGCGATCCTCCTGCCTCAACCTCCCAAGCCTCTGGGATTACAGGCATGCGCCACCATGCCCAACACTTTTTTTTATATTTTGACATGCATTCCAATATGGTAGTTTTCATATCTATTCATGAGGCAAAAAACATGGAAATCATGATGCTCTTAGCCAAATACCATTAAGTACTGATCAACTTGTAACCATTATATTATTAATTCAGAAAATATTTGAGCACTCCTTGTGTTCTAGGAAATATTTAGGGTAATAGGATTACAAAAAAACTATATTTGGAATCTACTGGTTTAACTAATAAGGAAAATTCCTCTAATAGAAATACTTATAGTGATCTATATTACTCTTATAGAGAGATCTATATTCTCATTTAGTCTTTTTAAAACCAGATAAAGTAGTCATAGGAGATATAATTATGTACACTTAATAGACAAAAAACCCAAGGCACTAAAAGAAGAAAAACAACTTAGGTCAAGATTTAGCAGCTGTTGAGTGTCAGATTTCAAGTGTGAATCCCAATTATTCCTAAACCAGTAATTCTCAAACTTTAGTTTGTATCCTCTGGAAGTGGGTTTTTAAAACACAAATTGCTGGGACCTCCCCAGACATTTTCTTTATTGGTAGGTATGGGGTAGGTCTAAGGAATTTGCATTTCTAACAAATTCCAAAGAATTGGTCCTGGGACTACAAGAACCACTGCTAAGCAATGCTTCCTTTGTTAAACCTACTTACAATTACATTAACCTAGCAGCAAATCAGTTTTGCATATAAAAACATTTTATTTCATATAATTTAACATACACTGAATTCATGGGAATGTAACTTGAAGATACCCAATTCAAGTTTTTTTCCTGAATTTCATTAAGTGGCAATATGCCATTCAGCAAGTGTCTCAATTCTCCATTGCTCAGTTTTTAAATGACTCTTACATTGAGAGGTCTCCAAGATCCCTTTCTATTTGTTCTTCATTGCATAAAAGCTGTTTTAAACTTTCTTCACAATTAAGTATAATATTCTAATTACGTGTATCAAAAAAATTTCCAACTTGACGGCTCAGCTCTAAAATATTGATGATCTAGCAAAAAATTTAATGTTTAACAATGACACACTTTCCCAGAGATTTAGGAAGGAAATGTTACTCTGTTAGTGTATTTTTAAATAGTGTTAGTGTAATTAGATGTCAGTTTTTAATCCTTAAAAGGTCTATAAAATCTAGAAATACATGTTACTGAAGGTGGTCCAAGAAGGTCTCAGAGAGGGGATCTCAATTCAGGACGGCAGGGTCCTTGACATATATGACAAAAAAGAATTCCAGCACACTTCAGCTATTGAGTCACAGAAATTTATTTAGGAAAGCAAGGAATACATTTTTCACCAGCAAGAGAGACTTTGGGGGTTCTTGGTCTCCTTTTTTAAAGGAAATTTGGTGAGGGACGGCCATGGGAAGGTATGAGGGAATGCCATCAGTCTGGTGGTGATCACAAGACAGTTTATGGTGGTCTGGCTATTCTCAAGTTCCTTAAGTTGAGGTCTTCTCCATTACCTGATCAATAGATAATGGTGGGATAGGACCCATTATTATAGGTTGCATATCTTCCTTTCTCTGTTCTAAAAATACATGTAATAGTGGACTAATTAATAGGGCACAGGACAATTTTAAAGAGTGAGTGAATTTCCAGTAACTTTAAGATTGTCAATGAAGACTTGTAGATTTTCCAGAAAACATAAGTGATAGGCTAGGAAAAAAGAACTGACTCGGGGAGTGAAAGTATGAGGAACTTTAGCCCAAGGCTTTTAAAGTTTAGTTTTCCTGTCCTTGCATGTTTCTTTTCTACTTTTTATATTTCTTCTGGCTACCTCATAAAAGGTTGGCCACACACTGGCCCTTGTAGTTTGGGTATTAAAAAGCAATTTCACCTATGAGCTTTCAAGGGCAACTACTTTTTGGGTTTCAGGCTTACAAATAAAGATAACATTTAACATTCAAGAACACATCCCTGGTGGTTTTAAACAAGATTGCAGGGAGATATAAATGAATGATTTGGACTTGCTACCTTGGAAGGTTTATAATCTGATGGAAAAGTGGCTATATGGGTACAAGAATGCATGCAACTGAGAGGGCAGGGACACTCAAGTATGTCTGGTTCATCAGAGTGTCCACAGGGTCTGATACCTCCGAGGCTCAGTGGAGGAAAGGAGCCCAATTACACATAGCAGCCAAGAAAGTCAGAGAAGCTCTCACACAGGGGAGAACAAGGAGGCACCTGAAAATAGGGCTACCTAACAAATGACCATCAGATTGGCACACCAGAGTCCAGAATTGGGCAGGACATCAGCTTCCTTCCTCATCCTGGGCAAACTACTTCCTTTTTCTGGCCCTCCAGCTTTTCATGTGTAAAGTAGTAGAACTTGAGCAATATAATCTCTGATCCCCTTATGTAACTAAATCCAGTTAAACTGGGCGGAGGGGTGGGGGTGGGGAGGTACTTAACGCTCAAATTTGCACTATAGTTGAATTCTCCCTTAGGCAAATAGACAAATATCATCAACAGGAGACCAAAGAAAATCAAGAGAATATTAAAAGAAGTGAGAACTGGAAAAAGGAAGAAAGAGGAGTTTTCAAACAGAGTGCTGAAGTTTTTCGGAGGGGAAAAAGTTTATAGCTGATAAACAGGCAACTAGACCTCAGAGAGAGGGAAAGTAAGCAAAAGAGAACTCCACTCCTCCCAGCTCTTCTCTCTGGGCCTCCTTCTCACCTTCTGTCTCCCCGCCCAGACTAGGTCCTATTTAAGTCACCGATTGTGCAAAAAATTGAAACGTCCGTCAGCATTTGTTTTTCTGGTTTGGCGTCCGGCCGCAGCCAGGTGAGGACCTGCGCCTTCGGCGAAACCCACCTGAGAAAGGTGGCCCCGCCCACCCGGGTGTCCCGCGCCGATCCCCCACCGTGCCGTAACCCCGCCCCCCGCCGGCCCGCGGTTTCCGGGCTTCTGGCTATTTTAAAGCGCGAGCCACCCGGGTCGCCTGATTCCAAGTCCGCCACGCTTGGGCTCTTCTCTTCTTTGCCTCTTGTCCGGGCCCCTCCAGCATGGGTCCCTGGCCCCACTCGTTGCTCGCCGGCCTCCTGCTGCTCCTCTGCGGTGTCTGGACCGTGCGCTGCGACACACCTGCTAACTGCACCTACCCTGATCTGCTGGGCACCTGGGTCTTCCAGGTGGGCCCAGTCGGTTCCCAGCGGGACATCAACTGCTCGGTTATGGGTAAGCCGCCGGCGCCCTCAGACGCTCGCTTTGCCGCGCCGACCCGGGACTCCTCGCAGTCGCCCGTTTCTGCGCCCAAAGGCCACACGGCGGCCAGCGCTCCTGAGTGGCTGGAACATCCTGGCTGGACTCTGGGTCCTTTGGGGTAACTCTCTTGGCCACCGCTGCGAAGTTAAATTTGAACTGCTGAGAACTTCTAACTGCACACTCTTCAGGACCTCAACTCTCCCCCTCCCCCCCCCCCCGAACTTTTTCTTCCTCTTAATATTTGTATTTATCTGGTTGCTTTGGTTTAGAATAGAGTTCACAACTGCAGTCTTTTGTTTCCCCCTTCTAATCTGCCAGTTTTTTCAAAATCCTATTGGTGAAAAAAAAATATATATGAGCTCAAGGACTCTTGAGGATATGAAAATATATATATATATTTTTTTTCTGTGAGGTTATGGGAAAGGACTCTTATGTCCAGCCATTTCGATTTGGCATGTGGTAATGCTTCTTGTCCTTCAGTATTTCTAGCACCATTCTTTGTTTCATGTACTTCAAGGAGGTATAGAGAAGCTCATTTCTTCTTTAATACTTTCCCTGATAATTATTTGGAAATGCCCTGAGCCAAGTACAGTGCCTGGCAGTTGGAACAATAAATATCCAGTGTGTGAATACACTGGGGTATTACATATGCTTCAGTTACTTGGCTAACCTTAAAAAAGAAGCCAGTAGAGAAAAGAGGAAAAACAAAACCCCCAGACAACAGGCTGCTGGTCTGCTGAAAGTCTTGCTCCCTGTGACTTGCAGAGTGAGTGGAGCTCTCAGCTGTAGTTTCCCCATTAGCAGAAGGAAGTCTGTCAAGTAATCTGATACTGTCAAGTAATATTTCTTTAAAAAGAAATATTTAAGGCTGGGGATGTGGCTCAAGCAGTAATGTGCTCGCCTGGCATGTGTTGGGCGCTGGGTTCCATCCTCAGCACCACATAAAAATAAATATGTTGTGTCCACCGAAAACTGAAAAATGAATATTAAAAAATTCTCTCTCTCTCTTCTCTCTTCTCTTCTCTTCTCTTCTCTTCTCTCTCTCGCTCTCTCTCTCTCTCTCTCTCTCTCTCTCTCTCTTTAAAAAGAAAAGAAAAGAAAAGAAGTGTTTAACTCCAGTTGACTATATGGCTTTTCCTAATCTTGGACACTGTGTACCATTGTTTCTTTTTATAAATTGAGCTTGGGGATGATGGCAGAAGGGAGATCAGGATTTACACTTCCCTGTCACATGCAGTCTCCCACTCAGAGTATTAATCTGAAGACTCCCTGAAGTGTGGGAATGTCCAGATGGACACAACTGAACTCTTTTCAGGCAGCCTCACAGTAAACCTACCTTTGACTTTAATCCAGTAATTAAAGACACTCCTAATTTAGAAGGATTCAGGTTCTGAGGTTCTCATTTCTAGAGCCACTGAGTAAAAAAGATACCCCATTTCTTCTTTGAATAGACCATTTTCTGTTTTTTCTTGGGCTTAGCACATTATCCTTTTTCATTATTTGATGGTTGGTCTTTTTATCTCCTTGTACCTTTTATTAAATTTTTCTTTGCCTTGATTTTTGGATGGGGGGATTGAATTTAGGGATGCTTTTCCATGAAAGGAAAGCAGCTTAATTAAATAGTAGAGATATTTTTAATCCTGTGAAGTTCAAATAACTTTCCTTTGTTGTACATTTTCTTTTCTCTAGGACCACCAGAAAAAAAAGTAGTGGTGCACCTTAAGAAATTGGATACAGCATATGATGACTTTGGCAATTCTGGACATTTCACCATCATTTACAACCAAGGCTTCGAGATTGTGCTGAATGACTACAAGTGGTTTGCCTTCTTTAAGGTTAGTTTCTACTGCTTTGAGATATAAAACCTCTTCTGATTAGGATACCCTGGAATTTTAGTTTTAGGTTAACAGGATAACCAGTATTGATACACATTTTCCAAGAGAAGTTAGCATAATTTTGCAACTTTAAACTTGTGGCTTCAGTAGGATTAAACAATACTTGATCTATATTGAATGTGTATAAAGTATTTACATTTGCATTTTGGTCAGTAGGACATGATTCTCAGCTTACTTTCTTTATTGCTAAACCTTTATTTCTTAGTGTTGCCTTGTTGGCTTTATACTGAATTGGTAGGAAACATAAGGCTATTATAAATTTCATCTTCGTGGTGTTTAGGCTGTTTTTCTTATCATTGCTTATTGACTCTGAGAAATTGACCTAAATGACATATCGAATTAATATAATGTAGTATGTGTTAATATGAATTTTTTTTTTTTTTTTTTTAATACTAAGACAAAGAAACAGCATAGGAGTTACTCTGCTCATTAGGCTGATGAAAGTAAAAGGTAGACCATCCAGTCCAGGTTGTTTTTTTCTCTTCTCTCACTAGAGAAGAACAGTTATTGCTCATTCAAACACACTGTTTCCAGTTGCATGCACACTTTGGGTTAAAATAATTTAGTACAGATTTATGGCCCATCCCATATGTTGTTCTGAAAAAGTTGGAACTTTTCCTGTAAGCTGAGTATTAAATGGTTCAAGTAAATTGAAGCTAGCTGAAACTAGCTGTTTCTCATTATACATGGAGTCTAAATACAGATTTTTCTTGGGATAAGTATACAGCCTTTGGAGCATTTGGCAAATGTTGACCCTTTATAGGAACCTGTGGGAAAGTGGGGAATGAGTTTGTTACAAATGACAAAAGACGAAACAGTAGCAGAGGCCTAACCTTTAAATTTGTTGTGATTTCTCCTAGGAGTTGTGACTTACTACTAAGATATAGTGTTCTATCTAAACCATGCTTATTTCTTTTAAAAAATAACTTCCAAAAATTGTTAAATAAGGGCCCCTCTTTAGTATGAAAAATAAATAAAATGAAAAGGAGATAGAGAAGAAAAAGTTATTTCTTTCCAAATGGATTGGCTGATCTGATACTTAGTGGTGGGAATCGGGCTGTGCCTGTCGGCTATTGTTGGCCAGCAGTCTGTTGGATTAATTGAAGCCCATGCTTGACCAGTTGCTAACTATTTTTAATATCATCCCTAAGTGCTATGAATTTTTTTTTAAACCCATAACTATGTGAATTTTTAAAATGCTGCCATATTATGGTAGATGTATTCAATCAATTTATTTCTTGGTCTGCGTATTGATGAGCCTAGGGCTTTTTAGACCTCTTACTCTGTCACATTTCTTCAAAGGTTCTTTGCCTCCAGATCAAAGTACCTACAGAATTGGTGCACAAAAATTAATTAATTAATTAATTACAAAATGGATAAAGTGGGACCTGATTAAAAACTAAGTTGAGTAAATTATTCAGTGTGAGGTGGGAAGTAGGATATAGATGAGTAAAGAGTTTACCCATTTGGCTTAGAAAACTTCTCATTCTTCAGTCCTGTAGAATTGGAGAAGCTGGTGGGGAAATTTCTAAAATCACCATTTAATTACCAAAAACATAATAATCAGAAAGGTAGCAGAATACAACAGTTACTAATAGGGCATTATGTAAAAATGTGGATGTGTAACCGATGTGATTCTGCAATCTGTATTTGGGGTAAAATTGGGAGTTCATAACCAACTTGAATCTAATGTATGAAATATGATATGTGAAGAGCTTTATAATGTTTTGAACAACCAATAAAAAAAAATTAAAAAAAAAAAAAAAAAAATAATAATCAGAAATAGACAAGGGCAATTTCCCTCAGTATTTTTTCATCAGAAACAGAGGGACTGACTACCTGATGGCTGAATGAGGAATTGGAACACTTTTTGAATCAGTGTAAGCAGATGTGGTGTTTTGCCAGAGCCTCATTAGGTCAAAAGAGAACCAGTTTTTAAAGCTAAATACAGTTAAAGTATTCTCAACCATAAGTGGGAAAGAGTCAATGTATGGGCAGATAATTAGTCAATGATTAGACAGCTACAGTGGAACCTTGCCTGAACATATGCTTTAGGATGGTGTTCAACAAAAGCCTATTCTCTTCTTAGAAGTAACAACAGAAGGGGAGCTCCCCTATCCAGCTGATTTTGCTGTATAGAGTTTAAAGTGCCCATTTGACAGAATCATTATCAGGGCTACGTTTTATTTTCCTGCAGAAAAATCAACTACTCTAACCAGTCAGTTGTTGGGCCTTGTGACAACAATCATAATTTCAATTAGCAGAGTAGACTATACATAAGATTGTTGTTTTAAAACCTATCTTAACCTAATCAAGTAGTTCTAGGCAAACATATTTTTGCAAAATAATACAACCCCATGTTATTTTAGTAAATACAACTGCAAGTATGATGGGAAACAGTTAAAAATTTAAGAAATTACAAGATCAAGTTACTTCAGATAATAGGAAAATCAAGCACTTTTGGTGAGATTTGTTAATTTAAATCTTGCTGGATTTTACCAAGCCTCGGGGTATTTCCTACAATGTGCTGGCAAACCAGAGTGGGAGGGATGTGTAATTCAAGAAAAACAAGCCTATTTAATATGTAAGTTGGATCTTTCCTACAGGCTTATAAAATATCTCTTGAAATTAATTTATTTTTTGTGGTACTAGGGCTTGAACACAGGGATGTGTACATGCCAGGCAAATATACTACTACTGAGCTATACCCCCAGCTAAAACTAATTTTTTAAAATGAGGAATCATTAAAAGTTAAATTGTATTTGCTATTTGATTTTAAGTGTCTTATGTAAACTATAGCATCTTTTCAACCCAAGACGTTGGATATATCTGACAAATTTTTACCATGTACACCTGCCATGTTACTCTATACATTATTATTCTACAAATCAAGTGGATTTCCAGATCTCTCCGCTCATACCAGACTATGTCCCTTTGCCTTCTTTAGGTGTGCTTTCCTCCGATTGCTTCTAAGTGTCATTTCTGGCAGATTTTGAGGAGTAAGTGACACATGCAGGGCATTCTGTTAGGCTCCTGCTGCATCATCTGCTCCCTTAGGTATCCTGAAGCATAGTAGTAGACACATTGTCCTCCCCATTCTCTGCATTCTAGCGGGGAAGTGATTAGATGCCACCCTTATTTCTAGGAACTTTCTTTATTCAAGTTTTCTGTATTCAAATCTCATCTGGAAGATGAGCATTTTTCATGGTATGAGATTCCTAAATCTTTCTTACTTGATTTTAATTGCTTGAAAATTTGATGGATTTGGGATGATCTATCTTTTTTTCTTTGCACATGACTTCAAGATAGATGCAAGCTCAGAAGGAAATAAATCTTGATGTTGAACAGTTTTGCACAGTTCAAGTTGAACAGGAAATACTAGGTATATATTTTTAAACCATCTTTTTATTTCCAGGCATTCCATTATCTGAACATTTTATGGGGGTTACAAATTCTAAATTTAGGATCTATCTAGGCATTTTCCTAAGCACTGAAACAATAGGGATTAATTGGGTCTGTGTCAAAATGGAAAATTCTTAGAGGCATTTTTTTAAAACACTGCTTGCCTAAACAGATGACAGTACTCTGCAAGTCAGTTTTTAAGACTATCAGATTTTAATAGCTTTAGCCATTTGGTTGTACTTGTTGTTCTCTGGTAGATTTGAACCTATTTAAAATATCTGCATATTACATATAGCCAAGCTCCAATATAATATCACAGTGCAACAACAACAACAATAACAACAACAACAACAAATAAACAAGCAGAATATAAAAATGCCTAATTTTGCCTGACTTTATGTGATAGGTGGATAAGTGACTTTTTCCTTTGTTCTAAGCTATTATATACTTTATATATTTTTTTTTGACCAGCATATATAAAGTTGCTGGGTACAACATCCAAACTCTCTACCAAATTGCCCAGAGGAAGAAAGTCATGGGAAACAAACTGATCGTCGAAGAATGCCCTCAAGTTGAATAGGCTTTCTAACCTTTTACTATTTCTCATTGCACTTTCTCTGAGGCAGGAAAAGAAACTGGAAAACAGAGCTGTAGAGAAGGAACTCAGATTTTATTTTGAAGATTAAGCTACTCTAAATTCAAAGAAAATTCACAGGAGGGAAATGAGATTCATAATGACTAAAATTGTTATTTGGTAATAGTCAAACTAATTTTACTGATTTCTAATTGAGCTCTTGTTGGGGACCTTCCAATCTTAATAGAAGCATAAGCTAAAACAAAAACCAAAACACTGCCATAGTTGTTTCCAGAGCAAATGGCTTTCAAAACAAGAATGTTGAATGATTTTATCAGAAGATTTAAGTGCCCACTTTGTGCACTGGTGATCTTGTCAATCATGTTTCCACAATAAAGGACTAGGGAATTATGAACCATTTTTTTCAGACTGCTCTCTGGGTTCATTTTTAAGATACAATGATCTCAGAAGAGTTATTTTTGAGGTAGGTGTACTTTTAAAATTATAGATTCAGTATATCAAGCTCAGGATTTTATTTATTTTTTAACACTTTGGGTTTACTATGAAGAATGTTTCAATTGAGGGAAAATGTCAGAAATTTAGCACTTAATGCATGCCTATTTTATGTTAACTTTCTTGATGATGCTTTAATTTCAACATGACTCAGTTTGCCACTGTAAACTCTTTATAGGATGTGACTGATTTAATCAGTCAGTTGTTCATGCATCTGGGAACTGTGGGGATATATGATTTGCCACATCTGAGGAACAAACTGGGTGAGCTCTACTGAAATATTTTTAACTTTGTTATTAAAAGCCAGCTTCCCCTCTTCCCTGGTGGCTTATGCAAATAAATGTCTATTTATTCATCAGAGAGAGTCAGTCTGGAGAGATTATGGTTTTCTTATGGATTTCTTGCTTGAGCCTGCTTATCTTATACTTCAAACTTGCCTGCACTTTCTTATGTGTTATTTTTCATTCTCATGTGTTCTGTTTGCACACCTCAAATTCCAGAATGATACTTGTAACTTAAGTAGATAGGAATTTAAAAAGATAGAGATCCTGTTAAAGAAAAGGTTGGCTAAAGTTCACTTCACATTTTAAAAGTAGTTATGCTGCTGCCTCAGGTTGCTTATTCTTTTCTTGAAAGACTCCCTCAAGGGAGAACCAAGTGAGGCCACATGAGTGTAGAAGGTGATTCAGAGAAATTGACATTCCTGTGAGATATCACTCATCTTTTAAAAACTGGTTTGTACTAAGAAATTAACAATATTGACTAGGAAGAGGAGGAGAAGAAGAACTTTTTCACTCTTTCAGTTCTCCCATTTGCAGAGCAGAGATTTAAATCATTGCCCACACTAGTGCCATAAATTTAGATGTCTAAAATTTTGATTAGAATTTGATTGATGGTTAAAGTTGATAGGGACTTACCCTTCCTTATGTTTAAAAGTAATACTCTTTCCCCTTTTCCTTGGCTCTTAAGTACTAAGAGTGAGATAGAAAAAAAAGAGGGAACTGGGGATAAGTATTGAAAGTTTCATAGCTTCATCTCATATTACTGTTTTCACTTTATAATGGACCATCTGTGGCACACACATCTACTAGGTAGGGATTGCTCCTCAATTATGTCATTTCATCTTGTCAGGTTTTAAAGCTTGTTTCAGGCAGTGGTTATTGACAGATCAAAGTGAGCAGAGAGCCGAAACTAATAAGCTGTTTCTTAATTTTTTTCTGGCACCTGAGTTAGATTAGAACTATTAGTTTTCTTTATTTGAGAACTTCTCAGAATTTTAATATATATCTAAGTGATAGTTGAGGAGGAAAATAAAATAGGAAACTTTTCCCAAATAGGTTTACTGCCCCCCCCCCCCGAAAAAATGAAAACAAGGTACGCTCAAAATATAGTTTATGAAATGCTGTCTTAAACCTCTTCACTCTTAGTTAGGGAGACACATCTGCCAGTAGAAAAGATGAACCTTCGCATTTTGTTCTGAATATGGGATAAAGATCCTAGGACCTAGACATGGATCTAAGCAGCACTAAGCCTACATTTAGCATTTGTAAGAGATATGTGTTGTGTGTCTAAGTTATCAGAACTTAGCCTGTTTCTTAGGTATACTTCAAAATTATGTTGTTTTTGAAGTGGCAGTTACTTTCAGATACATGTGCTTCTTAAGCATGTTGGCTGCATGCATAATAGATTTTGCTTAAGCACTGAGCTTGAGAATGGCAGCTTTAAATGTCTTAAAGAGCATTAAAAAATAACAAGGATCTCTATTAGTTTTGTTTTATTTAACTTAACAGAAATTAATGTAATTAAGTATTATTAAGAGACAGTGTGATTCCTGTTGGCTTGTAACCCTAGTTTTTATTGTTTTATAGTTATTAAATAGAGCCTCTCTGTGGGGCTCTTTTAAAACCACAGCCAAGAACAGACTTTGGGTCTAAAAGGCAGAGCAGCATGCAGCAGTGGACCTACCTCTGGCAGCTAGCAGAGGCCTGTGCAGCTACAGCCCCTTCTGGAGTCTTTATTGCATGTAAAATGCAGAGGAGTCCTGGTGACCTACCTCCAAGGCAGCTGCCCTCCTGAACATTTCCTGGGAAAGCAGTAATCATCATAATGGAATGTGAACAACCAGAACCTACACAGGAAAAGAAAGGTCTGGAAGAGATGGAAGTCTCAGGTGGCTTCACTGTTCAGTTTTTTAATAAAACAATATGGAACATGTTAATTTTTTTTTTTTCTGTTTGAATACTTTTCTGTTGAAATGATTTTTTTTTTTTTTTCCAAACTGGTCAGGATTTGAAATTTGTGTTTTGTTTCATTGACAGCACAGATTTTATTCACAATTCCGTTGCCTCTGCTGAGTGCCTTCTCGTCCTCTATTTAACCTGAGGAACGCAGAATCTATTGTAGGGAGAAAATAAGGTTTCAGGATCTCTTAAGATGCACAGATGTAGCTGGTTGTGATGGCCCATGCCTGTAGTCCCAGTGGCTCAGGAGGCCGAAGCAGGAGGATTGGGAGTTTAAAGCCAGCCTCAGCAATGGCAAGGCACTAAGCAACTCAGTGAGACCCTGTCTCTAAATGAAATACAAAGTAGGGCTGGAGATGTGGCTCAGTTGTCAATTTTCCATGAATTAAATCCTCAGTACCCGCCCCGCCACCCCACCCCCCCAACAAAAAAGATGCATAGATATAAGTTATTGAAGGGAAGGTAGTTTTTTGGAGGACATATTTAAAGGAGGAGAAAAAGAGATTGTCTCAGACAAGCCATGCTATTGAAGAATGTCCTGTAGACTGTATGTAGAACTGCAGTAAGTATCTCTGGCCAGAACTAAGAAAATGTGTTTAGTTAATAGCTTTTTTTTTTTTTTTTTTTTGCCTTTTCACACTTACTCCCTACCCGACCCTTTTTGATTAGATGCCTGCTTTGTACTAAGAACTTGACATAGTATAATTTTTTAAAAAAATATATAGATAGTACTAATTTTGTTTTACGGATAGGAAAAAGTAGTCATGTAGTACTTAAGCTCACACAGCTTCCAACTGTAAAATGCTAGAGCTAATCTTTCAAGCCTAAGGATACCCCTAGAACTAAAAATTAAAAGAAAAACCATTTCACAATAGAGTAAATAATACTTAGAGTCACATTTGGGTAGATTTTCTGATGGATTCCAGCATGTAAGCATCATGAATGTTAGTTGAATGGAGTAGAATAGCTGCATTGGCTTTTGTTGGAGTCTTTAAGAGCAATTCCCTTTGAGATTTAGCATTCCTTCCCATGAGCTGCTAGCTTTCTCGCCCAAGCTAGACTTAGGGACAAAATCTTAACCTTATTTTTCTTTTGTACCTTCAAAAGTTGAAAAGAGAGCTTTTAAACTTCAAATTAAATACAAATAAAATCCCTTGCCAAATAGACTTCTCTTAATTACACTATTGTTCATACTGATTGTTAACTTTTAGCTGTTTCCTGCTAAACAGTATACTCATTTCCTCCTCATTTGGTTTAGAGCCCATTTGATCTAAAATGTGGGGCTACACCTAAAATGTGGGGCTACACCTAATCTGTAGTATCTAGAAAGACTTTTCCCCTACATTTTGTCTTAGATAGATAAAAATCTCCCTAGATAGTAGTTTTTCAATAATGATGACAATTTTATACTGTTGGAGAGGAACTGGTCTGCTATAACAGTATAGCTAACTGTATCTATCAGACATTCTTTTCTATCCTGCCTTTGGACCTGATCAGTGCTTTATCACTGAGGACCTGATGCCACCTCCCCAGCTATCTCCATTAACAGGAGAAGCTCTGTTACCTTGGTCCCCATTGTACTTTGCAGATTTCTCTCATCTCATACCTATTATAGCAGAATATTTTGATAGAATGTCTTCATCGTCTTCTGGGCTGAAAGTCTGTATTTAACCTTCAATATTTTCAGCACCTAATGCACACAGAACTTCATAGATTCTTGAAAATAAACCACATTTCCTTTTTCTTTTTGCAGACTTTTTACGAGTAATACCAGCTTACAAAGAATCAGTTCTCTTGAATCCTAGAACATATTTGGGAATGGTGCTATAACTTTTTTAGTACTCTGCTCTAAAAAACATTTTCAGGTTGCCTACCTCCAAAGATCTAAAAGTTGTATATTTTCAATTTGATGTACATATTGTAGAATGTATTTAATGTGAAATTTTAAAAAATTATTAAATGTTTCTGTTTATTTCTCTGAGTAATTTAGCTTATAAATGGATTATGAAAAAGAAGAATTAGTGACAACAAATTTGTAGATATGTGTTACAATGTAATAATGCTTAGCTTTCTCTGTCATAATTGTCTGCTTTGTCTTCTGGTCTTAAAGTCCATTATGCAAGGATCAACTCTGTATTACTAACCATTTTATTCTCCATGTATAGTGCAATATGTGAAAATAACAGGCCTTCAATAAATTTAGAAAAAAAATTGAGCAATACATCCTGGTGTTATTTTTATTGATGTTTCTGAAAGTGTTACCTTTATGTCCTTAGAGACTCGGGTGGAACCTCAGGACATATTTGTTGAATGACTTAGTGGAAAAGAGATTAGACTTTTAAATTTTATTCTGTTTATTTATGATTTAATATTCCTGAGGCATAAGAGGGCACTATACATCTCCAAGTAAAAAACAGTAAAAGTTCTAACTTTCAGAACTAGGGAAAACTCAGTTGTCAAGAGAAAGTGAGTTTTCTGGCTGCAGTGGTTCCCTGAAGCCTATAGAAATGACAATTTGAATTAGCCTGGAAGGCTGCAGGTTCTTGTCACCTCTGTCAACTATGGTGAGGAGCAAGACCTAGGAAATACATTAGATGAACTCAAGATTTCTTCCAACTTCACAAGTTAGAAGTTTGTGAGCAAGTAAATGAGGGATGAACCCAGGGATTTGGGCTGCTTTGCTGAGTGGTAAGTGACTGTTTTAACTAATTCTGAAATAAGTATTTTGGCTTAAATGGAATATCTTCGCACTAGGAATAATCAAACTTAAGATCTTCATTCTCACGTATAAAGCCAACTATCAATTTCTTTTGGTAAAATGCTGGATATTATTTGGTTGCAGCTACTATAAGGATTTCCTGGCAGTTTTGTAATTCATTAAAATTCAACTTTTTAAATAAACAGTTCAGTCTTATTAGTAGGCAAAGCTAGTTCTCGGAACTGACTTAGGGAAGTTGGCTTCTTTCTGAGGAAAGATGGTGCTCTGGGAGGGGTTTGGCAAAAAAACAACTTGGTAAAATTCACTTTTTTTCTTGTTGCTGTCTAGCAGCTTTTGCTTGTTCTAAAGACCTGGTAGCCAATTAGACTGGTTAATTTGTACTTAGGTAGATATCTGCAGTAAACAAATGGTAAAAGATTGAGTAGACTTTTTTTTTGTTTTCAAATATTACTCAGATTTTGTATTTCCATATCTTTTATCATTAAATCATTGTACTTCATTAAAGGTGTTCTTTTTTGAAGTAGTAAATCACTGTGATGGATTACATGTATGGTCCAAACTTTTATGAGTTCCACAGTATTTATCAATATATTTAAAAATTGTACACATGAAATATTAACCAATGTTTTTTAAATAATAGGAAATATTAAATATTTAATGGTTATATTAAATATTTTATTTGTTAATGTCACAAAATTACCCTACTAAAAAAATTTCATGATGATACCATTTGAAAGCAATGTAAAATATGCTTCATTATGATTTTAATTTCCAAATCAATGTTAGAATCTACTACCAATAAATAGTTTCCATGACTAAATTTTCAGTGTTTGAACACAGTTTTCTAATGTATTTTAAAATCTTTTAAATAAGGGATTTAAAAAAAGAACAAAAGACATTTTTAAACCTTATTAAATCACGTCAAGTGAGTTCCCAAAGTAGTTGTGTCATTTTATATCCCCACCAATAGTATATAAGCAATTGTATTTTACTTGAGATAGAGTCTCACCAATTTTGCCCAGATTGGCCTCAAGGGATCCAGCTACCTGAGTAGCTAGAACTTAAGGCAACTCCATTCAGTTTTTTTTGACACCACCTTTTTAAAAATATGAAAGTGTCATGGCTTTTGAAGAGTTTTTAGGAGAGTCACTGGTTTGCACTAGCAATGGTAACAATTTAATAGACATTTTAACTGAAACATTTACTTTCTGGAAGAATGGCATTCCAAAGTGAATATCCTAGTCCTGGAGCCATTTCACACATCTACTTTCTAAACAAGACTAACAGAACATATTATACTTAGGGCAAGTGAACATTTATGTTTACATCATTAGTATTTGCAGATCCTGTTTTCTTTGCAAATATATTTTAAGCCACTTGTTCATTTTGTGAAGGTTAGCTTTATGAAATCAGATATTTATGTCAGTTAAAGCAGGAACAAAAAAGAATATGCCATGTCCCAACCATCTTGTAGGTACTTTATTTACTAGCACAATAATAACAGTGAAAGTGAACCTTGGATAGTGGAACTGACTGGGAGCATCAACCTTGATTTTTATATTAAATAATAGTGGAAGTCGTTTTTCAGCTTTTTATCAAAAATATAAATAAAAAATATAATACTTTTTCCCATTGTTCCAGTGGCCCTCATTTTACCTCCTTTTGGAAACCAATGCCTGATAGGATAGGCCCCACTGTCAACAGCTCAGTTTGTTGACAGTTGGGATATTTGAATGCCTAGAAATTATTTGACTGCATCAATGGTGTCTTAAACAGCTTTGTACCCCACATAGCAATAGATGGTAATATTTTTTATTGTTACTTGTTTGTGTTCTATGTAAACTCTTCAAATTTTAATATCTTTACCCTTCATAACAATCCAGTGAGTTAGTATCAGTTGCTGATATCATCCCCGTTTCAAATGAAGAGATTGAGGCTCACTAGTTTTAGCTTGTTCAAGGATACGTAAATAAGTGACAGAACTAGAATTTAAAGGGCAAAGTCTTTTTTACTAAATTGCCCCTGCCCCCTAGCCAGTGTGTTTCATAAAACAAATGTTTGAATATTTGCTAACTATCACTTTCGCCAGGAAAGTAGTGGAATGAGGTTTAAGTGATTTGTTTTTTACCCTCCTATGTGTCAAAAACAGTGGAGAAAGAGATCTAGAATAAATAAGTTACTTATTTGTGTGTGTGGTGGTGGTGGTGGGGTGTCCCAATACCATGTAGGTCTAATTGGATAGTTCATAAAAATAATTGGGAAATTTATAAAATGAGATTTCAAGAATGTTTGACAGCTTACTGGTAATTTTGAAGAAGCAAATGAATAGTTAATGAATCATAGTTATTTTCTAATCTTAAGTGCTTGGGAGCTTCATCACATTTTAGGAAATTATCTATTTGTTGTAGTAGGAATTGGCATAAATGAATGGAAACTTGAATTGTTTCATCTGTCCAAAGCATTCTTTAGAGACTGATGTTTATATAAATGAAAACTCTTTGGAAAAAAAAAAAAAATTGGCTGCATTTACAGCTGGATAGTGTGGCTAAAACTTCAACTTACAAATTCATGATCATGTCAAAAACCACATCAAATTTCACAGTAGCAGGAAAATGACAAATATCTTGGGAGCATTCAGATCAAGAAAGTAACAGGTACAGTGAACAGTGCTTCCAGTTCAAGGCTTCAGAACTGTGAAATGTCTCTTTTGTAGTAAGTTATATTGCCCTGAACAGGCCTGTCATGGCCTGTTACTGCAAACCTTCCCTACCTTTTATAGAATAACTTCACCTTCTAAAAAAATTACTTCAGTTTGTGAAAACTATAGAATAATATAAAATTAATTTTAAAGATAAAATAATTCCATCAATTTAATGTAACAGAAGTGACATACAAATGGATACCATTTTTAGTATATTTCAGGATTTTAGTTATAACAACAAACAAAGTTGTAGTATTTTAAAGGATTATTATTTATAAATAAAGCATGGGTCTAGATTAAGAACTATTTGCCTGATTTTGTTGATTTTGAGCAAAACCACAGATGTAAGGATGTATGGTCAGGAAGCTCAAAGGGAAATTTTGGAACAGATCAGGAGAGGAAAACTGGCAATTCTGAAGTCTTGTTATGAGTTATAATTTGGGTCTCTTATGATATGTTGGCATCACAACACCTAATTATAACTTCTTATCTGATTTCAGTTTCTTGTGTTAGTATTGAAATGGGAAGGGCATTTGTTCTTTCTCTTCTATTACTCACTTTGCTTATTCACTCATTCAAGAATTAATTTCTTCCAAGCTCTAGACAGTTTGCTAGGTATGGAATACATGAAAAATCCTGTTATCACAGTGCCTGTTTCTGTGTGGAAAGTACAACCTCATAGGCTGTTGTGAAAATTAAATGAGTTAAAAATACCACCTATGAGATGGAGTCTGTTATTATCAGCCCTGATCTTATAGATGAGGAAACTGAAAGTTCAGACAGGACAAGTCTAGTTTAGGATCACTTGCCCAGCAAGTGGCAGAACTAGATTGTATTGAAGTGATCCAAGCCTGGGCTGCTAGAAAGTTTAGGCAGCCTTTACAGGGCATTAGGCAAACATTTGAACCTGACTTGAGTCTATTTAATCTTCTGAAACTTTTTTTAAGAACAGGATATACTGAAAAGCAATGATCTTCATGACCTGGGAAACATATTTGAATCCTCTCATTTTGTATCTTTGCATGTCTATCTTTTCTTCATTAAAGGGATAATGCTTGTTATTCCAAGAGATTTTTGTGAGCCTCAAAGAATATAGGAAGAAGTCTCTTTGGGGTATAAGCTTTTGCTGCATAGTTTTTGGGTTTCTCCCCTCAGTGTCTTTAGTAATTGTCTCTCTAGCTTTTTGTGAGAAGACACAAGTGTACAAAGAAATAAAGCATTGTACTGGGAATACTGTCTGAGTAGAGTAATCTTTGGTTATAAATTCTAGTTCAACCACCTTTATAGATTTCATTTTTTCCAAGAACCTTTAACCCAAAAGCATAATATAAATATAATTTATAAATATAAAGCATAAGAAAATATAATCATAACCCCAAAGCAGCCATTAGCAATATATAAGCATGATGCTTTTCCAGTATATAGCAACAGACAGGTCTCTCCAGCCTGTTTGTTTACCTCCTTCCTATAGCACTCATGAATTACTTAAAATGATATGTAATATTTCTTTGAGTTGATACTGTGTACTTATTTTATATTTTCAAACTTTTTTGTGATTTTTTAAAATCTTGTTTCTGTTAACATTTCTGTTGTACTGCAATGAGTGGCTTCCTGTGTATAGTATTGTATGTGTGTGTGAGCGAAAGAAAGGGAAGGGGGGATGGTTTCTATAAGGAAAATCACAAGAATTCTTAAAACATTGTCAGATTTCTTTCTCAACAGAGGTGGGAGGGAGCAGTGTCTTAGCCTTTCCTCTCCTGTATTTCTAACATCCAGTAGAAGAAACAAGAATATGATCAGG